CATGACCTGAGCCGAAGGTAGACGCTTAACGACTGAGCCACCCAGGCGCCCCCCAAGTAACAGAGATTTACCCTGATTGTAACCGGGGTGCAGGGGCGCAAGACCATCGGGCTCTGGGGGCGGGGGGCGCCCAGCCAGATTAAGTTCAGCCACTCGCCACTGACAAAATCCAAAGGCAGAGACATGAGTGGTGGTGAAACGAGAAAGGAATTTATTTCTGTGAGGCCAACACCGGGAAAACCACGGACTGGTGTTTCCAAGACTGTCTCCCAAGTGCTGATGATACTTCCAGAATTATATAAGGAAAGCGAGGGACAATGGTCAGTGGGTACACGCAGGGGCGCGGGGAAGTCAGGCGGGTCATTGTCTTGGGCTTAGTCCCTCCGGGTCTTCCGGACGTGGGGCAGTCCTTGTTGCTTCAGCAGGTAGTTTCAGTTCCCTTCCTGGGATGCTTTGTGCACAGGGTCTTTTGCCTGAGTTAAGGGATAAGCTAGAAAGAAAAACTTAATCAATTAGAAAGTTTGAGGTCAAGGAGCGCTGGGGTGGCTTAGTCAGTTAAGCCTCCGACTCTTGATTTTGGCTCAGGTCTTGATCTCAGGGTGGTGAGTTCAAGCCCTGTGCAAGGTGTGGCGCCTACTTAAAAAAATATAGAGAGAAATTTGAGGTCAAAATGAAGGTAGTCAAGCCCTCTTGCATTATCTTTTTCTCTAACAGTTTCAGAGCTTTGCCTCATTCTGACACCAGTGTCCATGTGTGTTTTTTCCCACACCACCAAGCATCTAACGCCATCAGACACTATCTTCCGTGGGACGGCATCAGATCCCACAGGTGAAGGGCTCAGTCCCACAAGACTGCCCCTCCCCCTCCAGATGTCAGTCACAAGTTCAGGTTGTCACTTCTGCTTCTGATTGGTGTAGATCAGCTATAGACTGGAGGTCCCAACAAACCCCCTACCTGCTTTTGATTAATTTGCTAGAGCGGCTCACAAAAATCAGAGAAACATTTGACTCACGAGATCACTGGTTTATTACGAAAGGATACAGGGAACAGCCAGATGGAAGAGATGCACAGGGCAGGGGGTGCAGACAGGGGCATGGAGCTTCCGGTTCCTCTCCCAGTGTGCCATTCTCCCTGAACCTCTGCACATTCACTGGCCCAGAAGCTCTCTGAACCTGTCCATTTGAGTTCTTCTGGAGGCTTCACTGCACAGGAATGATTGATGACATCATTGGCCGTTGGCGATTGAAATCCATCTCCAGCCCCTCCCCTTCCCCAGAGGTCAGGAAAATGGGACTGAAAGTTCTAAGGGTTTAATCACATCATGGCAGCCAGCCCTCATCTTTTTTTTTTTTTTTTTTAAAGATTTTATTTATTTATTTGAGACAGAGAGAATGAGAGACAGAGAGCATGAGAGGGAGGAGGGTCAGAGGGAGAAGCAGACTCCCTGCCGAGCAGGGAGCCCGATGCGGGACTCGATCCAGGGACTCCAGGATCATGACCTGAGCCGAAGGCAGTCGCTTAACCAACTGAGCCACCCAGGCGCCCAGCCAGCCCTCATCTTTAGGTGACCCAGAGGCTTTCCAAAAGTCACCTCATTAACTAACAAAAGGCACCTTTATTGCTCAAATCACTTAGGAAATTCCAAGAGTTTTAGGAACTTTCTGCCAGGGATGGGGTGAAGACCAAATATATGTCTGTCTGCCTTCCTTCCTTCCTGAGGGGAGAGGGAGAGAGAGAATCTTAAGCAGGCTCCAAGCCCAGCGTGGAGCCCGAAGTGGGGCTCGATCTCAGGACCCTGAGATCATGACCTGACCCAAAATCAAGACTCTGATACTTAACCAACTGAGCTACCCGGGTGCCCCTATGTTTCTTATTGTAAATCACAATATAACAAATTAGCTTTTAAATTTAGGTCTGTTAAAAAACAAAATTACCCTGATTAAATTTGAAGACACAATTGGTGTTGTTAAGCCATTCATGAATTGGGCAGCATCCCATCTAGCAAATAGATGTTCTAAGGAGTTTTATAAAATGGAAGGTTTTTATAGGAAAGAGGGTGGGGCAAGAAATTATTAGCAAAAAAAAAAGGGATTATATCAGGCAAGTTCATTTTCCTGCAGGGGGTCTTAGTAGATGATCTCATCTTCCTTTGTGGGGGATGGCGAGGGCCCATGTGACAGATGACCTCATTGCTACTGACCAGAAAATTCCTGACCAATTAAGACTACATTCCTGGGGGAGGTTGAAATGTGATTAGGTTTGTTATTACGCCCCTGTTCGGTGATTTGGCCTAAGTGACTCCATCTTGGGCCTGTGGTTTTATTTTTAATGGGTCTTTGATACAGTTTGAGTTATATTTTATATATGGTGTGGGGTAGGGGTCCAGTCTCATTCTTTCGTATGGGGATAACCGGTTGTCCCAGTACCATGTGTTTCAAAGACCCTTCTTTCCCCCATGGAATTATCCTAGTACCTCACTGTGGACTTGACATTTTTATTGAATTAGCTTGTTCCTGAGGCCACAGTAGGTATGTTGAAAGTAAACAAAACAGATGCCATCCTTGCCTTTGCAGAGCTTCCGTTCCGGCTACCTTTAAAAGGCAGTCAGAGAGTCACAGGGAAGAAGGACTGGCAGGACAGGGAGTGAGACTGGAGGCAGGGAGGCCACCTTGGAGGCCATGGAAGCCATCCAGCAAGGAGCGATATTGGGGGCATTGGAGATGCCCTGTATGGAGGCTGACTGGACAGGTGTGGGTGACCGCTGGAGGCCGAGGGAGACAGACGCCCTGTTCCAGAGTGAGAGCCTGCTCTAGGACTATCTGAGGAGCTGGCTGAGGCTTCCCCTTCCTGCCATGACATAATGTTGGCCCTGCGTGAGCCTGGCTGATGAACCAGTGAGGGGGGTCAGAGGCCTGGGAGAGAGCCCCAGGTGACAGCAGGAAGGGCAGCTGCCTTCCTGCTCCTCCTCAGGACTCAGCCTTTCTTGGGTGCAATAAAATCACTTTCCCTGCAATTTCATGGAGACTTGCCAAGTCACATGTCCTAGAAGGGGCTTTAGGGGCCATAGGCTAGACCTTAATTAGGGGCCTCCCTAGTGCCAGGCCTGAGCTGGACACTATCCCTGCCCTCAGGAGGCTTGAGTCCAGGAGGGACAAGGATGTCCCGTGTTACAAAGGAGGAAGTAGAGGACACTGGCAAGCTGTGTCCAGGAAGGCCTTGGGGAGGAAGTGATGTTTCCTGAGCCATGAAAGACAAAGAGGAGGGAGTGGGCTGGCTGCCTGCCAATGAAGAGTCTGGAGAAAGGGAAATAAGTCCTGGTGGAGGGGGCAGGGCCTGGGGATAGCTGGCCCTGGGGGCCTCCCCAAATAGCAGGGGAAGGCTCCGAATGCTTGTGGGGAGCCTGGGGTTTTAAAAAGATCCTTGAGAGGGAGCAGAGTCAAGGGGAACCAGGCTTGGATAGGAGACAGGCGCGTGGACGGGGTGTTTGTGCGAGGGGGTGTCTTCACAGGAGGGGGAGAAGGAAGTTTGGCCGTGGGAAGATCAGGGCCATACCTGGCTTTCTCAGTTTCTGACTTGGGTGTTGTGGGGGATGAGGTGCCATTTAGTCCCCTTTTATTTAAAAACACACAGACGAGGGGCACCCGGGTGGCTCAAGCGGTTAAGCAGCCCACTCTTGGTTTCAGCTCAGGTCATGGTCTTGGTTGTGAGATCAAGCCCTGAATCAGGCTCTGTGCTCAGCACTGACTCTGCTTGGGATTCTCTCTCTCTCTCTCCCTCCCTCCCTCTGCCCCTCCCCCTGCTCATGCTCTAGCTCTCTCTCTCAAATAAATAAATCTTTAAAAAAGTTAAAAAAGATTCTTTCTCTCCCTCTGCCCTCCCCCGCGCTCTCTCTCTCAAAATAATAATAATAAATAAAATAAATATACAGAGGATTAAACAGAAAAAGAGTAAATGGCAGTTGCGTGAAGGTTCGGAGGGACTGGAGAGGGAGGGGCTGGGTCTGTGGGGCTGTAATTCTGGTTCCAAGCCTCCCTGTGACCTGACTGGCCCAGGGCGTTCTGCAGGACTGAAAGAGTTAATATGCACAAAGGGCTCAGAACTCTGCCTGAGGCCTGTTACCTGTGGCCTGTTGTCAGCACTGAGCTCATGCTGACACTTGGCCTTTGAGAAAACAACCAGAATATCCAAAGCCTCGAGCCACGGGGCTCGGGGCTCTCGGGGGCCATCCCGCCCTGCCCCATTGCCCTTTGAAGGTCACTGTGGTTTGGCCCATCTTATCATCATCATCAACCGCTCCTGGAGATAGGGCAGCGCCAGGCCGTGGCTCCCTGCCACCACCACTGTCCTTTCACCACCCCCCCTCCGCTTCCCCTCCATTGAAGAAAGAATGCAGGGTCCCTGTGACGTGGTTCTCTTCTTGGAGCACGGCGGGGGCTGGGGGGTGGGGTGACACAAACTCCAGGTCCCCACTGGGAGACTCTAGGGTGCTCTGGAGGGGAATCTGAGGAATGCTATGGATGACTCTGGAAAGATGCACCTGCCATAGAGTTCCCTGGTTGGAAGAGAATCCGCTGGTAAGAATCCCCAAAGGGCACCGAAAGGCTCCTGCGGCTCCCGCCTGCCGGCAGCATGGGCTCACAGGCGACTTCCCTGCTTCCCCGGCCTGGGCCCCCTCCTGCCCTGAGCCCGCGTCTTCTTCCTCCTTGGCCGCAGCCAGTACATCAAGGCCTGCAGGACAGGCAACATGGACCAGGCGCTGTCTCTGTGGTTCCTTTTGGGCTGGATCGGAGGAGACTCCTGCAACCTCATTGGCTCCTTCCTCGCTGACCAGCTGCCCCTGCAGGTGGGTCAGACCAGGGGTGGGGCGGGCCACCGAGGACGGCCACGGCAGAGGGGGGCGACCACGGCAGAGGGAGGGCCCCACACTGGAGAGAGCGCCCTCCGCCCCGCCGTGCAGCGTGACAGGCAGCTGGTCGGTACCCTTCTCCGGGCCTCAGTTTCCCCATCTGCGAAACGAGCACGTCAAACCAGAGGATGGCTCTGGGGTGCCGAGGTCCTGACTGAGCTGCCAGGGTGTGGGGCCACAGAGTAGGAAAGGTTTCCCTTGGGGGGAGCCGGGGGTGGGGGTGGCAGGTGCCAGGAATCCCAGCCAGGAGTCCATCGTCTTCCCCAGCGGGACGGTACCGTCGTCGCGGCTCCTGTGCCCGGCCACGCCGGAGCCCTCCCTTAACCGCTGAGTGCCCCTCTGTCCCGGCGAGGCGCACCCGCCCCCTGTCCTCCCTCTGTCCCGGGGGGCCCGCTGCCGGCCTGCTCTCGAGTTCTGCCGGCTGGACGCCGATGAGGAGACCGGAGGGCAGGGGGGTGAAGTGGGTCGGTTGGGCCGCGCCTCTCTTGCAGAGCTACACGGCGGCGTACTACGTGCTGGCCGACCTGCTGATGCTGGCCCTCTACTTTCACTACAAGTTTAAGAAGCGCCCCTCTCTGCGTGAGTGTGGGGAGCGGGGCGGCAGGAGGCCCGGGAGCGCGGGAGGCAGTGGGCTTCGCACCGCAGCGTCCGGCCCACACCGCCGAGCCCACGCCCGCAGCCCCGGGCGGCCGGGACGGGGGGCCGGGACGGGGGCCGGACCACGGGGGCTGCTCTTTCTTCCCTTGGGTCGCATCCCACAATCGTGGCTTCAGCTGTTCCTCTGTACCTGGCCCTGGGCTTGGACACAGGTCACCGCTGCCCCTGAGGATTGAGGAGGGGCGGGAGTCAAGGTCAGAGGGAGGCACTTGTCTGCTCTGGGTGACCCACTCCTGCCCTTGTCTCTCCTTTACAACCCTAGGAGAAGGGTGCTATTATTACACCCATTCTACAGAGGAGGCATTAAAGCTCAGAGAGGTCAGGTTCCTTGCCCAGAGTCACACAGCCGCCAAAGGGCACGGCCAGGACTCAAGGCCTGGTCTGTTTGCTGCCACTGGTACCTGACCTCGGCTTCCCTCCTGTCTCCTGTCCAGGGTCTACCCCCATCAATTCCGTGCTGCTCTTCATCCTGGGGGTGGGGTGTGCCTTCCCGCTGCTGAGGACCACCGGCCCAGTGGCTGCCCCGAGGGAGGTCTTCCGGGGCCGCACGCTCCTGTCAGTGGAGCCGGGCAGTAAGGTGAGGTGTGGGTCAGTGCCGGGGGGGTGCGGGCTGGGGACCGGTTCGTCCCGAGGGAGCGGGGATCGCACGCTGCACCTCTGGCCCCTCCCGGGCACTGAGCAGCCCCCTGCCCTCTCAGCCCTTCACTCGGCAGGAGATCATCGGCTTCGCCATCGGCTCCGTCTCCAGTGCGCTCTACCTGCTGTCCCGGCTGCCTCAGATCCGCACCAACGTGAGCCCGGGGCAGGGGCGGGGCCGCCGGGGCAAGGTGTGGGGTCTTTGTGCAGCAGGTGTGGGTTCAAACTGCCCGTCGGCTTAAGTGAATCCAGTTCTCCAGGCCTCAGTTTCTGCCCCTGGGCAGTGGGCACGATGAGGCCGTCTCGAGGGACACTGGTGTCCCGTGTGTGTATCAGAGAAGCAGCGGGTCAGGTGAGGAGGCCAGGGCCCGGCCGACAGTGCGGAGGGATGGGGAGAAAGGGGCGTGGTGGGCCCAGGGAGGCTGGCGGGGCGGCCCGTCTCCTGCGGACCGGGCGCACGGTGACAAACGCGCTCAGAGCGTGCCCAGTGGGACGGGGCAGCGTGACAGGAACCCTGGCCGAGGCCTCTGACCCCAGCCCCCCTCACCCCCAGTTCCTAAGGAAGTCAACGCAGGGCGTCTCCTACTCGCTGTTCGCCTTGGTGATGCTGGGGAACACGCTGTACGGGCTGAGCGTGCTGCTCAAAAACCCCGAGGCGGGCCAGAGCGAGGGCAGCTACCTGTTGCACCACCTACCCTGGCTCGTGGGCAGCCTGGGCGTGCTGTTGCTCGACACCGTCGTATCCTTCGGGGGCGGGGGCAGGGCAGCCTGCTTCTCCCTCTGACCCTCTTCCCTCTCATGCTCTCTGTCTCTCATTCTCTCTCTCTCAAATAAATAAATAAAATCTTAAAAAAAAAAAAGAAAGAAAAGAATTCTTTAGTCCATACTGACCGAGAGAGAGAGAAAGAAGGTGAAAAATAGGAAGGTTTTTTTTTTTTTTTTTTAAGATTTTATTTATTTGACAGAGAGAGACACAGCAAGAGAGGGAACACAAGCAGGGGAGTGGGAGAG